GTTTACAATAGATTTATTGTGTACGTTTTTTGTGTACGGAAGATTTTGTGTACAATAGAAGGAAAACAGCTCGATCAAAAACCCAACAAATCGACACCAGAAGACAATCAATGAATTTCTGCCGCCCGAGAAAGCAGAATTGAAGCAAAAGGATATTTGAAAACATCGCCTTGAAACTGATCCTTTGATGTTCTACGCAAAAGTGGGGATAGAAGGGTAAATAGTTGCTCATATCAATTAGAAAACTGATATCAAAAACGTGGATAACCCGAAAAAAAGGAGCAATAATCTTGGAATTGAGATTCAAAATCTAAATCGTTTTAATTGTGTTGAAATCCAACTCGAGGTACAAACCCAGTTCCTTTATCTGTGTTCAAAATCAAACTTGTTTACATTGAATACAAAGGTTTTGTGTGTGTACGTTATAAGGAAAAAAATGCAATGTAAAAAAACCTATTGAACGGACGCTAAAGGTGTATCAATGAGCATTTTCCGCCCGAGTTGATTCGAGAGACTGATATTAGAAGACATGTCACAACATCTATTTAAAACGGCACTGTTAACATTCTATGCAAAAACAAGATTGGAAAGGAGGTGTTTGTTGCAATTAGGTAGAAAACTGATATCAAAAACGTGGTTCACCCAATAAAAAGGTAATCATATTAGCAAAGTAGTGGGAGCGAGAGAAAAAGGCCGAGCGGTAAAAAAAACAGAGACGAGAAATTGACTGCATGAAAACGAACAAGAACAAGTTTATCGGTTAGAAAATGAAAAGCATGACAAACTGATAAGCAGCCAAAACAAAAATACACCAACAATTTTCGGATTTTAACAGTTTTGAGTTAAAAATTAAAAAAAAAACATTTAGATGTCTTCCATTTTTTACTGGGAGTGTGTAATTTACTGTGTGTAATTTACTGTGTGTAATTGGAGAATTGTCAGTGTCTTGTGCCTTTGAGATGATTTTTTTTTTCATTTTTCCGTTATGAAAAACATCAGAATTTTATTGGTTTTGTTTTCTGATTGCTTTTTTTGATACGGAGGTTTAAAAAATTTCTTGCTTAAATTTTCAAAGAAACTTTTAAAGTTTTTGAAATGGAAAAAATTTACTGTCACTTATGATTGCATTAGTGTATATCAATTTAAAAGAAGATTGCAAATGTTTTGTGATGCATGCTTTTGATGAAAATTGAAAACTTTAATGATTGTTTGCTCGTTATTAATAAACTGACCAGAACTATCTGTAAAAACAAAAGGTACTAACCAAAATAACTACAGGTTACGCCAACTTTAAATAATAATTTTTTTTTCGATTGTATGCCTACTGTAATTTAGTTGTTGATTCAGCAAATCGAGTTTGAAACCGCATGTTTCTTGCCTTAAGATAAAAATATCGAAACTGGTGCAATTTTTTACAAATTTTTTTTTCATATGCTTGAAGATTCACTTAATGAAGATTGGAAACCAGCAATGGCCAAAACTCAAATGAGAAAGATATTTAGTGGAGAAAACGAAATCAAGGTCTTCACATCGGAAGTAGGAAAAAACAAAAAAATATCACTTATATGTGTTTATAGACTTATCAAAAAGCGTTAGAATAAAGTGTGTTTTAACTGGCTTAAAAAACTTTGAATTAGTTTCGCCAATTTGGTTTGGTTATTAATTGCAACTTGAAGTTTAAAGTTAATGTTGTAAACTTAAAGTTAATTCTGCACATTCTCTCACAGATTTTTTATTGGAAATACCATCAATGCCAATTTACATTACCTATATTAGGTATTCGAATAGGCAGCAGTTGTTTATGACGTTGCCAACAAAGTTTTTGTTGAATATTACCTGTTTAAAACTTACCTATATTACAACTAAAATCATTGATTGGATTTTTGCAGAAACTCACATGGTGAACTACGTAACAATGATTTGAAATCTCCATTAACCTATGCTGAACTACTCAAGTCACTTACTGAAGAAAAAAGAACACGGCTCCTCCACAACCAAAATATACCACAAAAAACTGCTAAAACGCCTGAAAAACAGAGAAACAATTTTTGTTGGTTCAGTTATTAAGTTTGATGAAATGATCTCAATGATAAAAAACTGAAACAACCAAATCTTAAAAATGTCCCGAATACAATCTTTTCTGTGATATTTTTTCTGGAAGCCTATTGCGGTGTGTACGGGATTTCTGATTCTTATTTCTGGTTATAGAGATAAAGTATAGCCGAAAGGTTGCCAGTAAAAAATTGATTTTTTTCGCGAAAACTTTTAATTAAGTTAGTCGATTTTATCATGGGAAGTACATCGCCTTGTATAGCGTAGTTATTGCTTACTACTTTTGCCCGTCCGCAATGCTTGAATGAATCTCTTGCGAGTCTTCCACCTAAAAGCAGTTTTGATTACTGATATGTATTTGTCTATTTAAGGTGATTAGCAACATATGTCGCAAGATCTGA